TGTTGTTGTTAACTATGGTTATGATTGAAATGTATCTACCTGGATTCTGGGACTTTGCACTGGTGTGGTTCCAGAGCGTCTACAATGCATCAGATGCTGTTGCAGATAGTTCCTTGATCAAAATTTGTATTGGGAATCCATGTATAACCCATGCAAAATTGAGATGTTAACCCTTCTTTTTTAACTGAATTGAGAATGCTCCTTCATAATAAAAGAATTTACCTTTAACTTTCGCTTTCAGTCATTTGCATGATATCAACTATACACTGTTTTGAGTTGAGGTCTCCTAACCATAATCAGGGGGGTCAAATCCTCTTTTCCAATGTATCCACTAAAAAAATCAATTTTTTTGGTGGAAGCTCTGGTTTAGTAGGTTTGTTGCCCAGTGACCTTTTAAAATGGCAATTTGTCTAATGATGAATGATTCTGATAATAATTCTACTAGATTTATTCAATGATGAATAACACTTTCCGTGTTTTGCATTTTTTTATGCATGTAAGTGAATTAGTGGAAATAGCTATAATTTCTTTCTTAGCTTGTCCTGAAAACCTTTTTCATTAACAGGGATTTGTTGAGACAGAAACAACTCTTATAGGATCTTTGACAGTTCGTGAGTTCCTCTACTACTCAGCATTGCTTCAACTTCCCGGTTTCTTTTGTCAGAAAAAGGATGTGGTGGAGGATGTTATCCTTGCTATGTCACTGGGAGATTATGGTAATAAACTAATTGGTGGTCACTGTTACATGAAGGGCCTTCCAAGGGGTGAGAGAAGGCGCATTAGCATTGCCAGGGAACTTGTGATGAGACCACATGTTCTATTCATAGATGAGCCCCTTTATCAACTTGACAGGTTCAATTCTCATTCCACTTGATTTTGCAGGGACTTGTTTAGTGATCATTATATTTTCCTTGTCTATTAATTTCTACAATTGGAAAATTATCTTTCTTAATTCATAGTCTAGTTGAATGAAGTAGTGAAAACATAGAATGCATTGTGTTTGAAGTGTATGTACCGTAAAAAATTATCTGAAGTGTTGTTTACTATCTCATATCTTTATATCGTCCAGTTTCTTGAATAAATGAAAGTATGATTTGACTTTAAAAAGTATACTTCATCACCTTTGCCATTGTTGTATTGCTTGAAGAAAATAAAAAGCCGAAGATATTACTGTCAAATTACATTCAAAGTTAGTAATACTGGATAGCATATGTAATTGATAAATTTGTAATATAGAGGACTATAAGACTCCTTTTTCACTTGAAGATTCGAGACTTCATTTAATACATTGAGTGCAATAACAACCTACTTCATCAAATAGTAGTTTGTAAGACTGGTTCCCAGTTGACTGATTCCATGCAAGTTTAATGATGCTAATCTGTTGCTATGTAGTGTTTCTGCACTCCTGATGATGGTTACTCTGAAGAAGCTTGCAAGCACTGGATGCACCTTAATTTTCACCTTAAACCAGAGCAGTACGGAAGTATTTGGCCTCTTTGATCGAATATGCCTCCTTTCAAATGGAAACACACTGTTCTTTGGAGAAACATTGGCTTGCTTGCAGGTAATAGATCTAGAAATGACCACCTTGATTTTGTAAATCTTGAGTCTCTCTAAGATCTTTTTGTTAACACGAGCAAATGAAATAGATGCAATAATACCCGTTGTGATATGATAGACTAATTCATGTATCTAACGTGGCAGTAAGAATGCCGGAAAAGAATATTTTTTATTACTTCATTTATGCAGCCCCTTGTTTTTAAAATTTGTTACACAGTTGTAGTTTTACCAATATAGTATGTAGTTCAACAGGGTATGTTTTTTCTGTTTATCCAGATTGATAAAACATGGAACTCTAGAACATAACATTAAAGACATGGAGGGGCAAGAAGGGAATGATAATTGCCTCATAATCCCTTACCTAGCTCCTAAAATAGGAAAAGAAAAAAAGTCATGTCCTTCCATCAGATTAAGAAAAAAAGGGAAAATCTTTCAGCCCATGCAATTTCAGAATTGCCAATATAAATGTTTCATTGGTGTTGAACCATTCTTGGGAGAAATCTCCACCATTGGTGAATATTGAGTCCTTTTCTTTCTTGAAAACTTGGTACATTTGTATATACTGTATACATGACAGTGGTTAGAGCCTAACACACCTTTTATTAATTTATTCATTTTTGATCTGTGAAGCACTTCTCTAATGCTGGATTTCCTTGCCCAATCATGCAAAGTCCCTCTGATCACTTTCTGCGTGCAATAAACACAGATTTTGACAGGATTATTGCAATGTGCAAAAATTGGCAGGTACTGGTTTCAAATATATTTACATCAGGAAGCACTGTTTTTTCTTTGGAAGGGGGATAAAATTATGAGATACTGTTTTCTCAGTTTACTATCATTGTTTCTGAATAAGAATTTTCTGATATTGTAGTTTATGTTTTAAATAAAAGCAAGATGTATTGTATTTGGGGGACCTTGTGTGATGCTCTAGGGTTTATGCTTAGACTTATTAGATTTTTGCAGCTTCTTATAATTTTGTTTGAATATGTGAATAAATCATTTGGATAGGATGACCACGGAGAATTATCAGCAGTGAACATGGACACTGCTGTTGCAATACGTACCCTTGAAGCAACATATAAATCGTCAGCTGATGCTGCTGCTGTTGAAAGTATGATAGTGAAGCTCACTGAGAAGGTATTTTTGTTATCATCATTAATGTCTGCTTTTATTTTATTTTTATCACTATTGACTATAGGATATTATTTGTTCAATTACTTTCTACAATATGTATTTGGTCTATACTGATCTGCAATGTTGCTCATTATAGCATTCTACTAGCCTGTGGTCCATTTATACTTAAGCTGGCCAACTATATATCCACACTTCTATATCCTTATTTGGTTGAATGTCTAAATTCTGAAGGCCTATTTGTTTGCTTTAGTTGGGGGTGGTGGGTTGGTGGTTGAATGTCTAAATTCTGAAGGCCTATTTGTTTGCTTTAGTTGGGGGTGGTGGGTTGGAGGAACCTCTTTCAATTTTGAATACCAACTGTGCTTCTTTTACGATTTTGTGGGTGAAATTAGAAGTAGAACACATCAGTAGTTTTGAATACCAACTGTGCTTCTTTTATGATTTTGTGGTTGAAATTAGAAGTAGAACACATCAGTAGTCCTATCTACTAATTGAGTTGTTTTACTAAAGATGTACTGCTCCATATGAAAACCTTTTAAGTTATGCTTGAGTTTCAGTTTCAGTTTCTTGAATTTTGCTTTAAAGTTTGATTCCATCAGTTTCTGGAGACTGTCTTCAAACATTCTGTGCGGTTTTTAGTTTTAGCATTACCCGAGCAGTTTTTGTTACTTGATAACTGCTTTAATATACTTCCTGATCCCTTTTTTTGCCATTGTTACAGGAAGGTCCGTATCTCAAAAGCAAGGGTAAGGCGAGCAGTGCAACACGAATTGCAGTATTAACGTGGAGATCTCTATTGATCATGTCAAGAGAGTGGAAATATTACTGGCTTAGGCTGATACTCTATATGCTTCTTGCTCTCTGTATTGGAACTGTTTTCTCTGGGCAGGGACATTCCTTGTCTTCCGTTGTGGTAAGTATCTAAATGAAACAAGAAATTTGACCCATTTATCTGTGTTTTTTAATTCTATAGTTCATTTGTCATATATTCATCTCTATTAGTTGTATGTTCATTTTGCAATTGATCTGTGGGTGTATATGTGTTAACATGATTGATATCTCTAATTTTCATTCACACGTTCATGATGCCATTCTCCCTCGTAAATTGTCATTGCAGACAAGAGTTGCAGCAATATTTGTATTCATATCATTCGCCTCTCTTCTAAGCATAGCTGGAGTACCTTGCCAGATGAAAGAAATTAAGGTAATGTCTGGCGTGAGGGTTGGTCCCTCGTAGAGCTATAACTTCTTCATAGTATTTTTACAAGCTTTAACTACGTAGGGCAAGAAAAATGTCTGGAAAATATCAATTTCTACACGATACGATTTTGTATTGATGAATTTTTCAAAACAAATTCAGTCAGCTCAAGGAAGCTGTGTAGTACTCGTTAGGCATACCTGACTTGATTAAGGGATAATGTGCAGATATATGCCTGTGAAGTATCGAATCAGCATTCTGGGGCTTTAGTTTTCCTGCTCGGGCAACTTATCGCTAGCATTCCATTCCTGTTTCTCATATCCATTTCGTCAAGTCTAATCTTTTATTTCCTCGTTGGGCTGCGGGATGAGTTCAACTTGTTGATGTACTTTGTGCTGAACTTCTTCATGTGCCTCTTAGTAAATGAAGGAATGGTTTTGGTTTTTGCTTCGATCTGGAAAGATATCTTCTGGAGCACAATAACATTCGTGTCAGTCCATGTGAGTCCTGCTTTTGTTTCTTCTCCTCTATCAGGAAAACTTTTATCTTTCTATTTTGTCGTTAATTTTGCTCATCCATTAACCAACATTGTTGCTCTTTCAGGTGGTGATGATGCTTTCTGCTGGCTATTATAGAATCCGAAGTGATTTGCCAGTTCCTGTGTGGATGTATCCCGTGTCCTATATAGCATTTCATACCTACTCTCTGCAGGCAAGTTGTGGATATCGATAAACTACTCTTTCAACTTTTAAGTTCAGACTTGAGAGTTTTTCATGGCTAAATAAAAAACCGAGAACACCATCTCCTGATATAATGTATGTTTCAGGGACTCCTGGAGAATGAGTACATAGGAAGCTCGTTTGCAGTTGGGCAGGTGAGAACCTTATCTGGCTATCAGGCTCTTAGAAATGTGTACGACATATCTGATGACAGTAACGCGAAATGGGAAAATTTACTCGTGTTGTTTATCATGGCTGTGGCATACCGCATTCTCGTGTTTATATTGCTAGAGTTTTGTGTCAGGAAAAACATCGCTGTACATAGACTTTGCCCCTGTAACCAAGATACAGACAAGAATCCTTAGCTAATGCTACTACATACCATATATCCATGGAACCTGGAAAAAAAACCTTAATTCCTGTGAATTTCTATAAATGAAGTTTGTTTCTTTTTCTGTTGAATGGCGGTGTTTACATCCTTGATGAACTTATCCATGTTTTTCTGTGAAGATCCGTTTGGACTTAGGGCTGCTTCCATTGTCTTCTTCACTTGCTTCACTGCATTTCTTAGCTCATCGCTTGTTTTCCCGCCCATTAACCGTTTGATTTTGTCTGAGATTTCGAGTTTGGAGACTGGTTTCCTGTCGCAAAGGTTAAGCCCGAATTTCCAGTCGTGGACGATGAGTTTCCGGTTGGTGAATTGGTCTGTGAGGAGAGGAAAACACAGCATTGGGACTTCACACCACATGCTCTCCATACTCGAGTTCCATCCGCAATGAGACAGGAATCCCCCAATGGCGGGGTGGGCCAGGACTTGCTTCTGATTGCACCATGGGATGATCATCGAGCGGTCGGAAACCTCTGCCCGGAGATCTCCCGGCAGCGGGTCGGAGTCGTCGGAGCTCACAATGTCCGGCCGGAGGGCCCAGAGAAAGTTAACTTTGCTGAGGGACAGTCCGTGGGCGATTTCCAGGAGAACGTGTTTGGAGAGATGGGCGTAGCTGCCAAAAGTGACGTACAAAACGGAGCGGTGGGGTTTCTTGTCGAGCCAGTGGGTGCAGTCGGACTCCGACCAGAGGCTCGTCGCCACCGCGCTCTGGGCGAACACCGGCGGGAAGATGGGGCCCACCGTGAAAAACGACGTCTTTTCTTGTAGAGCCGCCACGGTTTCATGCTCGAGCTCCTGGACGGTGTTACACAGCACGAAATCTGCGTTTCTTGCGTCTTGGAACGACTTGTAAATTATCTGGTGGCATACCGTCTCCGTTTCCGTTTCTTGAATGTACGACATCAAATCCTTCACATCAATTGATCGCACTCCGGGCACGTACTCGATCGCGTCCTCACGCACATCTGATCATATTACAAACGCAAGCATTTTCAAGATTCACATATTTCTGGCCAACCCGATAAGCTCAAACCAAGAAGATAGACTCATAACCCGCTTTTGTTAGGAGTTAAACTTATAACATTGTTATCAAGTTAACCATCTTGGTTCAAACTTCAAACCAAGAATACAGACTCACAGCAGCTCCGGTTGGGACTCAACACGTACGAATAAAATTGAGAAAAGAAAAAGTGAGATTCCGACGTACCAATGCAGCCAAAGTGGCCGTTGAGGCGCAAGAGATGGAGGTGATAATAAAGGGTAAAAACCAAAGCGGGTTCCGTCCAGAAAGAAATATACAGAAGCTTATATTTCTTGGCCAGTTTTCCGGGGAAGACGAAGAAAGTATCGGCGATCAAGCAGTTAACGGGAGGACCGCCGGAATTTGCAGACGACGTCAAGATTTTCTTGAGAGCCTCCTCGACGTGCGCGGAATAGATATGCAGGAGCGAGGCCATGAACTGGTCGTGGTTCACCGCCCTATCCCACTCCGGCGGGAGGCCGTCGGAGATGGTGACGTAGCGGATGTCGAGGCCGGGCTTGCGGATGCCGGAGAAGATGTCGTCGTCCCGGGGGTTGCTCTTGGTGAGGTGGTAGTGCACGGAATGGGTGTTGATGAAGGTGACGGTGAAGCCTTTCTCCGCCAGGCGGCAGGCGAGGTGGACGGAGGGGATGATGTGGCCTTGTAACGGATAAGATATCAAGATTGCATGCGGCTTTTGGCCGGAATCCGCCATAGCTTTCGATTATTATTAACAGATGAGAGAATTTGACTTGGTTTTTACTAGGGAACTTAACGCAACAAGTATATATGCACAAAATGATGGACTTTCCCTTTGCTTTCGGAGATGGTTGTACGTGTTTGGATTCCATACTCGAGACCTGCATATCCCATAATTATATTAAATTCCGCCTAATTTTTAAGTAAATTTACTTTCAAATAAATAAAAATAAATTTATAATGATGCTACATATTTATTGAGTTAATACCCAAAATCGTCCTCGACTATAGTGGTTTTTCTCAATTTCGTCCTAAACGACTTTGATGACCTAATATCGTCCCAAACTTTTGTGTTTCGCTCAATTTAGTCTCAGACTTTTGTGTTTTTGCTCAATTTAGTCCCTCATTTGTTAGTATGTCCATTTGGTGTTAAATAAATAGACAATTCAGTAATTTTAATATTGGCATCTCTTTACTCATAGACATGTGAACTGCGAAATCCTTTTTTTTTTACGAATTACTCCTAAAACTGCGAATATAAAATTTGATTTGCAGGTCCGGGAGTAATTCTGGGTGTAATTCGTACAAGAAAGAGAAATTTCGCACTTCACAAGTTGAAAGTAAAGAGAGATCAATATTGACATTACTGAATTGTCCATTTATTTAACACCAATTTGACGGAATAACAAATGGAGGACTAAATTGAGCAAAACACAAAAGTCTGGGACGATATTAGGTCACCAAAGTCGTTTAGGACGAAATTGAGAAAAACCACTATAGTCGAGGACGATTTTGGGTATTAACTCATTTTAATTATATTATATGCTCAACATTAGTTAATCGACTTTCCAGTAACAACAATGCCAAATATGAAGAATATAATTAAGGGTGTGTTTGGTTCGCACAAGGGAATCGGAATTAGAATGAGAATCAAATATTTGGTAATAGTAATAGGTTTTGGTAGAAGTATTTTGTATGTTTGGTATTGGCTAGGGTGAAAGTGAAATGATTACCAATATTGATTATGTATGACCCTATAATGGGAATAAATGTTTTAAAAATACAAAAATAACAAATTAAGACAATTATTGATCCTAATATAATAACATCCAAAGCATCAATATGAACAAAAAAATCAAAACAAAAATCTAAAAGCACTAATCCAAACTTAAAAATCAGATTATCAATAAGATGGAATGATACCATTTTTTAATTAGGAAATAAAGTTTTTAATTGAAGTGGTAATCAAATTCCATCCTCAAAAAAAATTTCATAATTGTGTTTTAAAAAGTTGTCTACCAAACAATAACTATGATTTTGATTCTCTTTCCTGGTGTGTAAATCCATGAACCAAACACACCCTAACAGGGCGTTTGGTTGGAGGGGGGGGGGGGAATTATGTGGGAAAGGAATTGCAATTATATTGGAGTTGAATTACTGGGAATAAAGTGGTAATTTAAATTCCAGTGTTTGGTTGACAGGAATAGAATTACTGGGAATTTCAATTCCAATGTTTGGTATACATGAGAATTGAAAGGGAATAAGTAGTATAAAGTCCAAAATGCCCATTGTTGTTGTTAAAAGGAAAGATCAGACATTCATTTTAGGTTAAAAAAGAGAAGGGTAGTTTTGTCTCATCAGTATTTTTTTTCTTCCTAAAATTTCAGGAATTAAAATACGAGGGGGGACATGGGATTTTAATTCCATGAAAATGGGGGAATTGCAATTCCCTCCAACCAAACTATGAAATTTAATGGCCTTTGGAATTAAGTGGAAATTAAGTGGGAAGGGAATTTAAAGTCCCTCCAATCAAACGCCCTGTTAATTTATTTGCATTGTTTCTCTGATATATCAATTTATATTCTTGGTGCGATTTAAATTTATTCCTACAAAAAAAAAAATCATGGAACTATATCACAAACACATTTTACCCTGCCAAGAAGAGTTATTTTGGGTAGGCCATGGAAACTCAAAGTCATTATTTTGAACGCATGTATTGGTAAACTCACTTGCAATCCGATCACATCGGAGCCAGTTGATTTTGTAACAATCCAAAATTTCATTTTATAAATCCAGTGTTAAAAAATTTCAAAGTAGTTTTTCACTCCATTAAAATTTTTTTTTACAAGCAATCGGTGTTTGAATAAAATAATTTTGTTCCATTTTAAAGTTAATTCGACACCAAAGAAATGAATTTCATTCGAAAATTCTAAAGTTTTCGGGTACTTTGCGTACCAAGATTTAAATCGAGAATTTTACCTGTGACACCCCAAAAATCCACATTCAATCCATAGATTAATTGAGTAATTAATCCTATTTTATTCGAAGCATTAATTCCTAAAATCCTGATTTTTAATACTCAAGGACTAGTATTTGACTAGTCAACCTTAAAGTTGTGTTGTACCTTGAGCTTTAGGGGAGTTCCCTTGTTCCTTACACTTTCTAAGGGTTAGTAAGGGTATTCTTGACTTTTCACCAAGAGTTAGTATTGTAACCTAACCTAGAAGACTTCTTCATTTCATTCTTACAATTCTTAGAAATTAGCTCTACCTTCTCTCTAGAAAAGAAGTGTAGCTTATTCTCCAAGCCAAGTTGAGACCCTTGTCAAGATTCCAAGATTTGCTTCCAAGATTCAACCTTTCACCTATTTGGGCATCTAGGAGGTGGGTTTGGAAAGTAAGCCTTGTGGGAAGCTTGTTGTGGTGTAAAGTGAAGTCCTTTGGTCTACAAGAGGTAACCCATGCTCTACAAAACCTATTTTGCATACCTATATGTGATTTCTTGGATTCTACTTGTGCTTTGCTATGAAATGTGAGAGTTTATGCATTTGTCTTGTGATATTGCATATCTAGAGCTTGTGTTTAGGGTTCCTTTGTGCCATTGCTTGACATTTTCCATGATTCAAGTCATTTTGTTGTTGGCTGAGATTTGGTATGTTTTGGACTTGAATTTGTGTTTGGAGAAGAAAATCCCTGAAGGGATTATTTTGCACAGGTATATGTACCCGCGGGCGGAACCACGGGTGGGAGCCTACCCGTGGGTCCACCCGCGGGGAACACAATGGTGTTGAGATGGGATTTGTTTCCCGTGATCCGTTTGACTCGGTATTTGGTCTTTTGGCTTCCCGTTGTTCTTTTGTGGAACTATTTGAGCGTCTTCTTGATGTTTCGTATGTCTAGAACTATATGGTAGGTATCCATGTAGGACTTTGGTGTCTCGAATCGTGCTAAGTGTTCAATATTGTGTTTCGTTGGACCAAGAGGTGTCTTGTGTGTTCCTCGGAACTATCTTGAGTTTCCCCGTTGATAAGCATGCTAGTTTGTTGTCTTAATGCTAGCGTGTGTGTTGTTTGTACCTTCCGTTTGGTTGATGATAACTTGTGTTATTCATCGTTGATGTTGTTGGGCTGTGACCCGTTCCTTGATTGAGTATGTTTCATACCTTCGTTGTGATCCGTTGTTTGACTCTTGTTGAGTTGTGGTGCGTGTGTGGCTTTACATGGATTACACAATTAGTGGTATGGGACACTAGTCACCAAGGTATTGCAGCGGTCCTCGTGGTGGCCGTGACGTGATTATGGAGTTGTGGCCTTTGTGTAAGGTTCACGTTTTTGGGGGATAACATGTGGGGGATAACATGTGTTATCCCGGCATGTGTTGCCGTGTACGGTACCTTGTGTACTATGAATTGGTGGTCTCGTTGGTGGGGGACGACGGTCCCGGGGGAATAAGGTTGGACTAAGAAGTACAGGGGTCCTGGAGGTAATGGTTGGAAGAAAATATAAGGTTGGGGGTAGCCATAAGGTTGGAACAGGGCATAAGGAAGGCATATCAACTCGTGATGGGTGATGTTGTGAGGGCTTGTAAAGCCGGCGTTGTGTGTTCTTCTCTCGTGACGTGTGTAGTCACGGAGGCATGTGTTACTTTGGCATGTGTTGCCATTGGGTGAGTCTTTATCCTTCGCGTTGTGGTTAGCCTTTGTGGTTTGGGATGTGTTCCCGTGTTATCTTTGAGAGTGATGAGTCTTGTGTTGACTGTTGATCTTGGTTTTGACTTATATATATGTATTCCGTTTCGAAAATGGTTTTACACCTTATATCTATCTATATATGACATTTCACATGTATTGGTGGGTTACCAGCATTTATCGCTGACCGGGCGTCGTCCCAATGTTTATCTTTGTATCTTTCAGGTGATGTTTAGACAAGCGCGATGTCTAGTGCCTGGTAGCTTAGTACCCTCATCCTTGTTTTGTGGTCTGTGCGCCAATGTAGTTTAGACTGATGTTTTTGGGATAGATGTATACACTTGCAGATTGTTTGCCGTAGCGTTTACCGTGTTTGGTAGACGTGGCGTGACACCCCGTTCGGATTTCTTTTATCCAGTTCTCGTTTTTATCTTCCGCTGTGCTAGTTTTGTTGTTTAATCTGCATGTGTTAAGGCTTTTATATAGGTCTTGTTTGGGGGGTGTTACATTACCCGAGTGAGACAAGGAGAATTAAAAAGGGAATTTTGAACAAGTGTTCATCCATTTAGCTTTTGGGAAAATTCACTTTCCACCCTAAAGTAATAAAGAAATATCATTTTTAGTCTATGGTTCATGATACATGGTGGACCACAAGACATCCAAAAATCCCTTATAAAGTCATTTTTTAGCTTGGGGAAATTACTCCTTTGCCCTCAACCAATCATTGTGTATCATCCTAGGGTTTTGAACCCTATATAAACCCTTCATTCCATCACATTTTCCTGATCTCATTTCTTTGCCTCTTCCTCACATTTTGTCTGCCAACATCAAAGGAGAGAAACATCAACCTAGTAAGCTTGTTCATCCTCCATCCTAGCATCTTTTCTCTTCTAGTTTTCTTTGGTCTTTAAGATTATATGCTAAGGATAGAAGGTGTGTTGGAAAGTGTAGGTGGTGAAGGAGGCTCAAGCCAGGCCAAGAGAAAGAAGAGATCCAAGCAAGAAGACTAGACTACAAGAGGTATAACCCCATGGATTCCTATTTAGATTTGGCTCTATGAAGCCTAGTTTTGAGTAGAAAGGAGTAGAAACTATGAGCTTTTGATGTGTTTATGCTTAGAAATGCTTTGGTATGTGAGATTGTTTTGGACATGTTTGAAGAAGTTTTTGCAGGAGAAATGCTATCTGGTGCACAACACAGTGTGCACC